TCTTACGATCAGTAACTGAACAAAAAGTTACTACATTACAGTTAAAATCTATTCTGCCTCTGGAATCACATCTGCTAATTGAAATAGGAAGCAAGAGGGAGGGAGAAAAAAACCCCAAACCTCTAAATCCCCTTACTTTTTACCGTCATACCAATGTAGCTGCAAGAGCTGGAGTCTTCTATTCCAAAATATCCTTAACAAGCTGACAAAGAGGTTCCATTTTTGCCAAAATAATCCCTTTATTAAAGGTCAGTTTCTCATTTTCTTGATGGAAAATCTATTAGAATTTTTTAATATATATATTTTATATATATGTGTATATATTTGACCACTAGAATCTTTGTGATGCTACCATGAGGATGGTATACTTACTGGTGACTTGGTAAGTGAAAAGCTCTTCACTTACATCAGTCTTCTGATCAAGATGGATCTACATAGCTGGCCAAGAGCAGAATTTGAGCACAGAAATACTGAAATGAGTGGGGAAATTTAAAGTTAGCATTTCACTCCATGCCCAGCAATGCAAGTTATTTTTAAAGCCTAAATAACCAGACTGATACTTCACCAAGCATTAGAAGCAGGGAAACTGAACCACAGTGACACAACTCCGGCTCCTAAAATAGTACAAAAGTATCACTAAGGTAAGAACACAGGCCTACCTCCAGGTAACCTCTACCGAGCTAAGGAACGGAAGAAAGTCAGCAAGTACTGACAAACTCACACTCCAGAATGGTGGCTGCACACTAGGATAAAAACCTCAAAAGGCATCTGTGACTGTGAAAACGAGTTGATATGGACAGCACAGAAGCAAAAGCAGGTTCAAATAGTCAGCAATATTTATTATTCACATCAGTACAATCAATGGCAAAAATACAAGAATCTTTGCAATAACATCTTGAAGTTAACTGTGGGCCCATCAGTATGGATAGCTTGTAAAAAGTTGCTATGTATTTTGGAGAACTGGCAAAGGGATGGGTTTTTTAATCATCCAAAGGATAACAATGATTTTTGGCTATCAAATACACTACGAAGAGGAATCTCTTCTCTCTTCCATATTACTTAGTTCATATAAACCAGGGAAGAGTTCTAGGACAAAAACATTGATTCAAAAGAAGCGTGGCCAGCAGGTCGAGGGAGGGGATTCTGCCCCTCTACTCTGCTCTGGTGAGACCCCACCTGGAGTACTGCGTCCAGCTCTGGAGCCCTCAACATAAGAAAGACACGGACCTGTTGAAGCGGGT